TACGTCAAAAGCGGTTTTAGAACAGCGATAGTAAATCAGAACCACTTGCAGAATTGAGTGATAATGATTCGTGGGGAAATTCGTCATCAGACACTGAAAATGATTTTGCGACTTTGCTCAGCGATGTGCGAATTTGCCTCTGTATTTCAAATTTCAGTGTTTTTGGTTTTATTATATTATTGAATTAAATTTATTATTATTATATTATTATTTTTTATGATTATTTATTAAATTATAATTTATGATTTTTGTGTTTCAAGTTTTATCATATCCGGAATGTTTACTAGACTCTTGTTCGTACAGATTTCAGTGAGCTATTCCTAAAAATTACAGCCTACAATAAAAAACTACATATTTCCATGCAAAAAAATGGTACCGCTTTCAGCACAAAAAAATCGGAAAGAATCATACCGCCGAGGAGGTTAAACAATAACCCAAGTGCTGATTCATTCCTAACTTAAACTTCAAATGGCCAAATTCAGTGTTCATATCCCACTATATCATATGTGTGGAGCTCTCAGAAAAGGTAAAAAAAAAAAATTCCCTTCAGGTCATGTATTTTCTTTTTATTAAAGTATATTGCAAAGCTTGAAGATTCTGGAAAATCCTGTTACCAACTGAATACTTTTGCCATGTTTGCAAGGAAAAAATTTATTTTATTCTGTTATGGAAATCATTGTTTTAGGCTTCTTCTTAAAAACATTACATTACAAAATTATTGGCCTTATATGAGTTTTTACAGTGTATGCTGCCCTAAATATATTTTGTTTCTATCTGTTCACATGTGTGTTCACATAAGTGTATTTTAAAAATCATAGTCTCTATCCTTTTCATGTATTTCTTCCATTTGAAGTACACAGTTGATCCTACCAGTTACCTTTCTTCCTGTTTCTAAACTGGCCACACAAAGCACAGAAGCTGATCTGTGTTAGCGTGGTCAGTATGCATCCTTTGGTGAGAGGTACAGGATAATGTGCAGACACACAGCATGCCTATGCTGGGTAGTCTGCTCAACCCCAACCAATCACAGCTTGCCTCTGGCACACACCCCCTCCCTATCACAACCTGGCTTTAGAACACACCCATTGCTCAAGCACAGCTTACCTCTTGCCTCAGATCTAACACACTATGGAATACAGGCACAGTGTGTGTTTGCATCGTGTCCTGTAACCCCGCCCCCCACTATCAGGAAGAAGAGATGCATGGTAACATGACAGATCCTTGTAAAAAAAAAAAAAGGTAAGAAAGATCATTCTGAAACTAAACAAAAGCAGTCATGGTGCCTGCATAGATTTAACTGTATTAGAAAGTGTCTATAACTTTACTTTGTATGATCACTAAAAAGTATTTGTAACCTCTTTAACTAAACAGGAGTTTTTCTTCTATTCAAGCTAGGATTTTGACATTTCATGATAAAAACACTAGAAAGTTTTACTGTATTTATTAGCTGACTCAGCAGACTAAAATGCAAACTTCTGAAGCACAATAACTTCAGGCCTAATTCAAAATTGAATATGAGCTTTAACATGTGCATTCTGGTAACACACATCAAATCACATTATATACATTACTGCATTACATTTAGAATGGCACCCCAACACTCAAATGCAATGGACATGCTTGCCATAAAGCATGGCATTGCATCATAGTGTGTTGTGTTACAAATTTTAGAATGTATTGGTGATTGGCAGCTCAAAATATGGGCTGCCTTAATGTAATGCACATTAAAAAATGAGTGATATTAGCTACTGAAAAATGCATATTGTAAATATATATATATATATATATATATATATATATATATATATATATTGCCAAAAGTATTGGGACGCCTGCCTTTACACACGCATGAACTTTAATAACATCCCAGTCTTAGTCCGTAGGATTCAATATTGAGTTGGCCCACCCTTTGTAGCTATAACAGATTCAACTCTTCTGGGAAGGCTGTCCACAAGGTTTAGGAGTGTATCTATGGGAATATTTGAGTGCATTTGTGAGGTCAGGCACTGAGGTTGGACGAGAAGGCCTGGCTCGCAGTCTTCACTCTAATTCATCCCAAAGATGTTCTATCGGATTGAGGTCAGGACTCTGTGCAGGCCAGACAAGTTCTTCCACCCCAAACTTGCTCATCCATGTCTTTATGGACCTTGCTTTGTGCACTGGTGCGCAATCATGTTGGAACAGGAAGGTGCCATCCCCAAACTGTTCTCACAAAGTTGGGAGCATGAAATTGTCCAAAATGTCTTGGTATGCTGATGCCTTAAGAGTTCTCTTCACTGAAACTAAGGGGCCAAGCCCAACCCCTGAAAAACAACCCCACACCATAATCCCCCCTCCACCAAACTTTACACTTGGCACAATGCAGTCAGGCAAGTACTGTTCTCCTGGCAACCACAAAACCCAGACACATCCATCGGATTGCCAGACAGAGAAGCATGATTCATCACTGCAGAGAACACGTCTCCACTGCTCTAGAATCCAGTGGTAGGGTTCTTTACACCACTGCATCCAACGCTTTGCATTGCACTTGGTGATGTAAGGTTAGGATGCTCAGCCATGGAAACCCATTCCATGAAGCTCTCAACGCACTGTTGTTGTGTTAAAATGAAGGCAAGATGAAGTTGGGAGGTCTTTGGTTATTGATTTGCAGACAATTGGTGACCTCTGCGCACTGTGTGCTTCAGCATGCGATGACCCCCACTCTGTCATTTTACACGGCCTACCACTTCATGACTGAGTTGCTGTTGTTCCCAGTTGCTTCCACTTTGTTATAATCCCACTAACGGTTGACCGTGGAATATTTAGTAACAAGGAAATTTCACGGATGGACTTACTGCAGAGGTGGCAACCTATCACGGTACCACACTTGAATTCACTGAGCTCCTGAGAGCAACCTATTCTTTCACATATGTTTGTAGAAGCAGCCTGCATGCCTAGGTGCTTGATTTTATATACCTGTGACCATGGAGGTAATTAGAACATCTGGATCTAATGATTTGGAGGACTGTCCGAATACTTTTCGCAATACAGTGTGTATGTATATATATATATATATATATAAATATATATATATATATATATATATAGTGTATGTATTTAAACATATACTTTTTATCAAGATTATTATTTTGAGAGCTTAAGCTGAGTAACTAGGATCGGTCCTGCAATATGTTCAACACATTTTCTATTTGATAACTGTAATGCAAATGGAATGCAAATCCCACATTTTCCAATTATTGATTATAATAGAGATGATAAGTATGCAATGTATTCACCTAAACAGACGTAGAATGGTGCTAAAATGACATTCCTACAATAGCAAAGTGTGTTCTGTTAATACCACTGGGGGAATTTACATTTCTCTTGCAGTTTCAGCATCTCTACCATCTAGGAATGTGCAGAAAAATGAAGATGATGATTAAAAATATGTATTTAATTATTTCTATTCTGGGATCTATTTATCAATGCTTTCAAGATTTACACAACTTTCACCCAAGATTCACACATGTTTTCACATAGGATTTAAGTAGAGAAATGTGTGACTCTTGGGAGGAAGCATTGATAAATAGACCCCAGTGTCACGGTAAAACATCATGGCAGAAATTTGTAGTTGTTTTGTAAACAAGATTTAGAAAACTACAATCTCAGAAATGTGGAAGCAGAAGAATATATGTGTTTCTTAAAGCTAAACTTGGGGCACACAATTTTTTATTTAAAAATCTTCCTTAACCACTTGACAGCCGGAAGATTTACCCCCCATCCCCTTTCCTGACTAAGCCATTTTTTGCAACACAACACATTATTTTAACTGACAATTGCACGGTCAAGCAATGCTATACATAAATGAAATTTATGTACATTTCTTTATCACAAATAGAGCTTTCTATTGGTAGTTGATCATCACTGGGTTTTTTATTTTTTGCGCTATAAACTAAAAAAGACCGAAAAGTTTCAGAAAACCCCCAATATTTTCTACTTTCTGCTATAAGACATATCCAATAAAAATTTTTTAAAAACTCAAATTGCTTCATAAATTGCTACAAATTTTTGGTGAAATAAATCCAGATAACTGTATATTGATTGGTTTGCACAAAAGTTATAGCGTCTACAAACTTTGGTATATACACTGGAATGTTTATTTTTTTATACTAGTAATGGCAGTGATCAGAGGCTTATAGAGGCACTGAGATATTGCGGTGGACAATCAGACACTAACTGACACTTTTACTAACTTACACTTTGTGGGAACCAGTGACACAAATACAGAGATCAGTGCTAAAAATATGCACTGACACTGTACTAATGATGCTGGCTGTGAATGGGTTAAATATCTAGGGTGATCAAGGGGTTAACTGTGTGCCTAGCTAAGTGTAATGGGTACTGTGTATGCTGTTTTTACTAGGTAATGTGCTGGAAAATCCAGCGCAATGCCGTTGACAGGACACAGCTCTGCCTTTTTTACATAGGTGTTCTGCCAGTCATCAGCATGTCAGCATGTCCCGGCGCTCATCCATTGGCTGGCACCCACTGATTGTCTTCTGCTGTGACAAATCACAGCAGAAGCAGCGCACCGACAGTGTATGCGCACGCCCATGACCAGGAAGTACAGAATCACGTTTATATACGTGATTTTGCACAGTGCAGCTCCCCTGTAGGAGTATATCTGCTATGGAGCGGTCAGCAAATGGTTAATACATGCAAAAGATATACTGTAAATCCATTCTTGCCTGTGCAAGCTGTTATTATCTCCAAAGTGTATTTAAGTTCCCTTTTAGACAATTGTTATCGGAGTGCTTATTGTAAGATTTCTCCTCTATTCCTAGTTTGATGACAAAACAAAACTTTACATTTTACCTCACTGTTAGTCCTGGTGACTGTAGTCATGGGGGCAGCTAAAGAGGACAAATCTCTGCAAAGGGACACATACAGCAATACAAAAATCTGCTAGGGGTTCTAATCCTTCCCCTTTCTAGCAAAGGTTCTGGCTTTTGATACACTAGAAAAAAAGGAGAACATCAACACCACAGTAGGGAATCATGGAGATGCAAACTTGAAGGCCTGATTCAGGGGCGGACTGACAACTCATGGGACCCCCGGGCAACAGGGGATCATGGGGCCCCTGTGTCCTCGCCCACACTCAAACCACACCCAAAAAAGCCTATGAAAAGGTACCAGGGGCATCTCATGGGGCCCCCTACTGACCCCGAGCCCTCGGGCAGTGCCCGAGTTCCCAAATGGTCAGTTCGCCCCTGGGCCTGAACAATATGCCTACAAATTTCCAGTAGACCCAGAAGGTAAAACTCATTAAAGGCTCAAGCATTAAAAACTTGCCCTCCAGAGGATTAACCCCCCTTCCTTACCAGGCCATTTTTTGCATTACGGCGCTGCATTACTGTAACTGACAATTGCCCAGTCATGCAACGTTGCACCCAAATTAAATTTTTACAAACTTTTTTTTCCACAAATTGAGCATTCTTTCAGTGGTATTTGATCGCCTGTGCAATTTAAATTTTTTGTGCTATAAAAAAAAAAAAGTATGACGATTTTGAGAAAAAAACAATATTTTTGACTTTTTGCTATTAACCACTTCAATACCGGGCACTTTTACCCCCTTCCTGCCCATGTCAATTTTCAGGTTTCAGCACTCTAACACTTTGAATGACAATTGCACGGTCATGTAACACTACCCAAAGTAAAATTTTATAATTTTTTTCACACAACTAGAGCTTTCTTTTGGTGGTATTTAATCACTACTTGGGTTTTTATTGCTTGCTAAATTAACAAAAAAAATCAAAAATTTTGAAAAACACTTTTTTCGTTGTTTCTGCTAATAAAGTTTGCAAATAAATAATTGTTCTTCGTACATTTAGGCCAGGATGTATTTCTTTGGTGAAAATAACCCAAATTGTTTTTTTATTATTTAGTCTGTAGGAAAGTTATAGAGTTCACAAACTATGGGATATATCTGAAAATTGATCAATCCTGAAGTACTGACGGCCAATCTAATTTCTTGAGGCCCAAAAATGTCAGAACAGTACAGATATCACCCCAAAAAAAACCTTTTTGCAAAGTAGACAGTCAACTTATTTCATAAGAGGCATGGCGAGTATTTTGAAGTTGTAATTTTATGTCATAATTTTTTGGGAAATGAAATTAAAAAAATTATTTTCACAATTTTTTTTACATACTGTCACCAGTGCAGTACAGCATCATCACATAACTGAAGTGGCGGTGATCAGGGACACTGACTGGTGACAGTACAAAAAGATTTATTTTTTTTCATGTTTTTTTTTATTACATTTTTTTCTTTTTTTAAGATTTTTTTTTTCATATTACACTATAACCAAAGTAGTATAATGTTACCATAGTAACATTGTTCTACTTTGGGGAAGTGAACAGTATTTTTTTTTTTTACACAATTTGATTGCTTATAGCAAAGAATTTCTTTGCTATAGGCAAGCATTTAACTGAATGAAATTGATTCATTCGGGTTTTTTTGTTGACACAGATGGGCTGTGTTTGGCCCAGCCTGTGCATGTGAATGCTGTGACCATTCACAGCTAGACACACTTGTATACAATGGATGGTATGAAAAGAAGCCATCCATTGTATACAACTGTCATGTGACCTGCTGTGACTGGTCACAGCAGGTCACATGGTACTGGCAATGGGGCCGGTACACAGATCTGTCATTGGCCGTGTCTGAGGTACACGGCCGGTGACAGATCTCACCACAGCACGGCCCTGCAGGCACACGCAATGCAGGATCCGGGAAGGACGCCATGCGATGCCCTCCCGGAGGGACGAAGTGTTTGCCCCGCCGTCATTTGATTATAGGCCGGGCGGCAACTGGTTAAACATGTCCAGTAAAAAAAATTTAAAAATCAAATTTCGTCATAAATTTACACAAAAATGAATTCTGTGACATGTCTTTACAAAAAAGAAAATCCTAATATGTGTAAATTATATGGTTTACGTGAAAGTCGTATCATTTACAAATGGTGGTATAGATACTGGGATTTCTTTTTTTTACTAATGTTGGCGGTGATCAGCAACTTATAGCAGGACTGCGGTGGGCATTCTGACATGTGGAGAACTGATTGGTGTCACTGACATCCCCAGTGACACCAATACAGTGATCAGTGATAAAAAAAAGCACTGATACTGTAATAATGGCACTGGGCAGGAAGGGGTTAACATGAGGGTCGATCAAAGGGTTAACTGGGTGTGTTTTACTATGGGGTTGTGTGTTTGTGCTTCACTATAATCACACTGCTTTGCATGTGCACAGCCATGCAAAGCAGTGTGCATGAGCTAACATGAGCTAAACAAAACAGTTCTCCTCCCCGTCGGAGATGCTTGACAATCACCAGGCACTGGTGAGTAATCACCAGCCCGGTGATTGACAGCCGTGGCTGCAAATGGCGGCACAGGTAGGGCGTGAGTGTACCTCGCTCATGCCCCCTACCCTGAAATGCAAAATCACGTACATATATATATATATATATATATATATATATATGTGCGCACTTGTGCCGCCCTGTAGCAGTATATCTGCTATAGGGTGGTCAGGGAGCGGTTAAATGAGAGTTGCCGGTGGTTAGGTTGTTTATGTATTTCTCTTTTTGACCCAAAGGGCTCATGTACGCTGCAGCTGATAAACTCATGTTTAGGAGCTGTTCAGCAATTTTTTCAGCAGCCCCTGAACTCACCCTAATGTTTTCCTATATGTCCATGTACACATCTTCGTTTACAGTCGTTTACAAGCAGTTGAGTTTACAGTCATTTTTTTGAATGCAGAAAACTTGCGTTCAGCAGTAGATTTTATCAGCGTTTCAAATGCCAAACGCATGTAAACGCAGCTAAACACGACTAACCGCATTTATAGACATTTGCTTTTTTTTAACTCTTCCATTTTATAGGCATTTGCCTTTTTTTAACTCTTCCATTTCCAGATATTGTCCAGAGCCTTTTTTCATCATGAAAAAGGCATGCAAAGCATTTTCCCTGTATTCAAATGGGCCTGGTACACCATACTTTGAGGTTTTGCATGAAAAAAAATATGTTAGACACTGGAACACTGCAGAAATGAGCTGGAACACATCCAAACACCACAAAAAAAAAAGACAGCTAATCTCAACAAATACTGCGTTCTCTGCTTCTCTCAAAATGTCTGAAATAATTATCTTTAAAAAACGCTTCGAAGCGCAAACATGCATAAACGCGCATAAACGAGGTATGCAAATGCAGCCAAACAGACGTATTTTTTAACTTACATTTTCCAGCAGTCAGTTTCCATCGTTTAGATGTGTCCCCTGTACATGGGGCCAAAGAGTAAAGAGCTGTATGTGGCGGCTGTCGAATATGATGCATGAAAATATATTCCAATTATCTATCTGCATGTGACTGGTTAATTTAAATGATTAGACAAACAGTTTATTGTGTCTAAATACTTCAATCCTTTAGTAAATCGGCTTCATAGTATCAATTTTTGACAAACCACACTATTTTAGCACAGACGTTTCTCTGTTTTTTAAAGTGATGTGTTATACAAGATATACTCAATGAGGGTTGATTTACTAAAGAAAAGTAAACTGCGCACTTTGCAAGTGTAGTTGCACTCATTTTCCTTAGTAAATGTAATGTGCTAAAGCTTCACTTTGTAAAGAACATCCAATCAGGTGCAAGGAAATAAAAAAAAAGCATTTTGCTTGCACATGATTGGATGATGGAAATCAGCAGAGCTTTGCTAAGCTCTGGGGAACATGAGTGCAACTGCACTTGCAAAGTGCACAGTCTATTTCCCTTTAGTAAATCCAAGTCACTATGTTGTTATGGTTAAAGTGTTACTAGACCCACAACAGTAAAATCAGTCTGTATATGCAGTAAAGCATGCTTGTTATGCTCACTGTGGAACTTAAGGAGTTAATCCTCTGCATTGTGTAAAAAGGCTGTTTGGTGCTGTTTTCTCTGCCCTTCTTCAAAGGTTCAAATGTCCACCTGATAAGACAGACTGAACACGTGGTCACATGCACATGCTCAGTTTAGTGTGTATTGCTAGAGAGTTTTTTTTTTTCTTTGGAGAGTGCATGTGATCAGCACAGGGCCAATCAGCACTGTCCAGACAGAGGGTCAGGGGTTTTGCATCTTCCTAGAGCAGAAAGAAGTCAAAAGACTGCTCTAACTCCTGAAGAGAAAAGGTATTTAACAGTTTATATTTACTAAAATAATTGTGTTCTGTGTACTGTGGGAGACCCGATATAGTGAATGCAGGGTCCTGGGTTTAGTAACACTTTAAAGCCTAACTCCAGATTTAGTAGATCGTTCAAGCCAACCTGGCTCAAATGAACTATTTTCCTTTTCTACTATTCACTAATTGCTGCAGCCAGGGGCGGACTGACCATTTGGAAACTCGGGCACTGCCCGAGGGCCTGGGGTCAGTAGGGGGCCCCATGAGATGCCCCTGGTACCTTTTTCATAGGCTTTTTTGAGTTTGGGCAAAGACACAGGGGCCCCATGATCCTCTATTCCCCAGGGCCCCATGAGTTGTCAGTCCGCCCCTGGCTGCAGCTATTGTCATTGTTGTATAAAATGGGCAGCACAGTGGCTAAATGGTTAGCACTTCCGCCTGGCAGTACTAGGGTCGTCGGTTCGAATCCCAACCACTGCACCACCTGTCTGGAGTTTGTATGTTCTCACGTGCCTGCATGGGTTTCCTCCAGTTACTCCGCTTTCCCCCCACACTCCAAAGACATGCTGGTAGGTTAATTGGATCCTGTCTAAATTGGCCCTAGTATGTATATGTATGAATGTAAGTTAGGGACCATAGATTGTACACCCCTTGAGGGTTAGGGACTGATGTGAATGTACAATACATATGTAAAGCGCTGCGTAAATTGACGGCACTATATAAGTACCTGAAATAAATAAATAAAACTTATGTAGCATATGTAGTTCCCATCCCAAAACAAAATTGAGTCAGGCTTAGCTCTGCTTATCCATTCACTGGGAGCTTTACATTTTTAAAAAAGAATACAAGACTTCCTCTGATTGACTGATATACAGATTTTGACATAATCTGCCTTCCTCTCCACATCAGCCAATTGGAGGAAGCCTTGTATTCCATGGTAAAAATACAAGGTTTCCAGTGAATGACTGAGCAGCACTCAGCCTCAGTCAATCTTGTTCCAACAGCAGACAAGAAGTCCCCATACCACTTCCAAAAAGCGGCTGATGGCTGATGCCACATACAGCTCATACATCAGGG